CACGCGTCAGAAGTGTTTTGTTCTGTGTCAACCTGTTTGCACAGAAAACAGCGGAGATCGTTACAACTAAATTAACTCGTCATTTATACCATTTTTTGTTATTCGATTCTTAAAGGGTTCTTTTGGTTAAAGAAACATTTCCTAGTAAAATGCTAACAATGAGATATTGAAGATACTTATCGTTCTATTTGCTTAATATTTGAAGTTAGTCTGGTTTTACACGGTCTCACAAAGATTTTGCAATCCTCCATATTCAAAGTTCGACGGTAGACAATGGCCAAACCTTGATCTATCGATTACCCGATCCAGATCGATGCCAGTCAAACAAAATGTGATCATTGCTAATTTTTGTTTGTGTAAAACACGGACTTCGGTGACTTAGAGTGGACGACTTGGTGTTCAATACTGTTTACACGATGTAACACGTACAACGACAGATTCTACGCTTTCACGTTGTTCCTTAATAATAAACAGTAAAGTCTTGAGACGTAAATGACTAAAATAAACGATATGGACATAACATCTCTTTTCATATATTCTGATTTCCCAATCTCTCTGGGTCAACAAACGTAAATTTAACATCGTAAGTTTTCTCCGGGTCTTCTGCTAAAGATACCCCCTACGCGCAAGCGAATTATTGAAATACAATTGTACCATAATATGCTAGACCCGAAATGACCTAGTTTGTGTCGAATGGACGCACCTCTTAAATATTTAATGATCGGAAAAGTTTATTAGAGATGAGGCCAGTTGTTATGTTAATTCTATAAAACATGTTTATTAGGAATGAGGCCTGCTATTATACTAGTGTCGGCTTTTAAAAATAACTCGCTATTTATGACAATAATTCCTCAAGATTAAAAAGTAACCCACAAGGCTGGTTAGTTATTGAATTATTATAGATACATTATTTAAAAGAACATATTGTATCTTTGTCATCGTGTAGCTGCGCTGGCTCCATAAGTAAGACGCTGACTCGCTATCCTGGAGATTTCGGGTTCTCTCCCGGTGTTGGCTGAGAAAGTTCCCCAGTAAAAGAACCCTTAAAAGTTGGAATTCGTTATAAGTGTAGGCCGTGGCGCCGCTGTCCAGGCAAAATTTCCCTCACAGCCCACTGCATGGCGTATGCCCGCCTTTATTATCCCAGTTGGTGCAGAAAAGTAGGGTGCTAAACCTCATCTCATTTCATTTCATTATCATCATGCTCCTGTGTGTGGTAACATATACATGTATGCTTTCTTTTGCAAAATCTGTAAGTATATTAAGTCTTAATGAGTTGCCCACAGCCGAATAATAATTTAATGGTCACAATAAAGAGCCTATTGGTAGTCTCATCTATTTTGTGGTGTTCTGTTACCTTAAAGGAGCTAAATATCTGTATTTTGAACATAAAATGAACGGAAATGGATCAAATGTAACGGTAGTTGTTCACGCCCGGCATTCTACATCTCGAGTATGCCCCCATCAGACCGGAGTGGCGTCCTTACTGCGCTGCTAAGACCGTACGGCGACCAGAAAATACACAAGGTCGCCGGCAAACGTGAACACAACGTGCGAAAATGTGCCAAAAATAAATAAAAACTTGAAAAAAGTCGTGTTCTCATAGCTTTCCAGTTGATCGCAGAACCTTGGCGTTTGTGTTGAACATGCTCAAAACAAACGCCGTGACTCGGTGATCATTGGCGACCATGGTGACCACTGCGCGATAGCTGGCGTTTCCACCGCGCTTATGTCGATCTTAACGCGCTCTAAAACCATTTTCCGTCGCCGTAGCAGCGAAGTAAGGACGCCACCCCGGTCTGACGAGAATATTACGCACTGATGTTTAGTCTCGTTCATGAAGGCGCCGCATTACGTTAAGATAATATGATCGACCACCACTGACCGGAATGGGCCAAAAATTCGTGCTTGTAATGTCGGAAGACGCCGGATAATTTAGAGTTAGAACTTTACGCCCTTTAAAATAATAGTATAGTAAACCTTTGCCATGGCCGATTTGTTTACAATCATTACGTTTCCTATGTTTTACATCACAATTGATCCTTTCTTACCATTGACACTGCATTTCTTAATCAACTGTCCTGTGTAAAATGATGGTATGCCACCTGCCCAATTAAAACTGAACGACCTTTGTTGTTTTCGTTTTGATTTAATTAGGGATGCTATTCCACGATTCTCCCTTCACCTTTAAACAGGCCTGCTTTTTGCAGATTAAAGTCTATAATTGCCTGTCGTAACTGTAGATGTTAGTGGTAATGGTTTTATCTTTACCCATTACCTGGGGAATTCCAAACATTTTCTTCTTTTTTTTTCAATACTATTTCTAATTAAATCTTTTGTTGATTTTGTAGTCAATAATGAGATATAAATGTCAATTGTGGCTTAATAACTGACATTTTTTTTTTCACAATCTCTTAATAGGGAATAGCGTTTAGTTCAAAAGTGCTGCGTAAATCCAGGTGATGATTCATGGAGATTAAGTGACTCAGTGAGTAAGACCCTGGTTCATGAATCAGTAGGTCACGATGTTAACCGATAAAGATCCTTGGTATTTTCCTGCCGAGTTTGCCTTTGTCAGTAATGCATGGCGGGAGCCGGGCAACGAACGGGATCTAGGACATTTGGATATAGGTGGAAACGCGGATGTCCGTGCACATTTTCTCTCACAAGCCACTGACTGCATGGCATATGCTCATCTTTCTTAGTACGGTTGGTGCAGAAAATCAGGAGCCTGTTTCACGAAATTTTAACTATGATAAAATCCAAATTTTAGTAATTTGATTGAATGATATTAGATTGATTTTAGTGCTTAGCCAATCAAAATTGAAGTATCGACTAAAATTTGGATCTTTAGTTAAGATTTCGTAAAACAGGGCCCAGGACATTACCCCCCCCCCCACCCATTTAATCGGGTTTATTCGTGTACGACTGGACGAATGTTTTTTTTTTATTCGGATTCACATAGTTTGAATCGTCGTAATAACGAAGCGGACCTATTAAAAAATATGCGCAACGATGGCTTGAAAATAATTATAAAAAAGACAACACATCTGATAGACATGTGCGAATTTCACGCCGCCGTTCTAAATATCGAGACATAGGAGAACTAACAAAATCTCATAAGTGGAACTGTACATGTATGATGACTTGTACAAATACTCAAAACGCGGAAAATTTCATTGGATGGTAATGGAATTTCCAAAGAAATTGTCACATTCATTGAATTTAGGTATGCAATGTGAGCTCATAAATTGATGAAATTATTTAAGTCACGTATTTAAGTTCTGTATTTACAGAACTGATGTAATATTAAACGCTAATGGCTGGACAGAATTTATGCTACTCTTAACAAATAATGCAATTTCTGTTCGTGAATTGACCACAAGTAAATCGAATGGTCTTGAAGTACACTGACGATATATAATGCTACAGTCTAACTAATAGTCTCTTTATTACAATTAATTTTTTTTGGGTTATTTCTGTAAGGCTAAAATCACAAACGATATATTTATGTTGACCCAATGAACCGTGGGGTATGTTTTACTTATTGGCACTGGTGACGAATTAACGTCCCAATTTACCTGGTTTCCTCGTAGATCTCTTCACAGATATAATAACACAGTTCTATGGATAACAATCACTATTATATATACACACGAAGTTTCGACAATACTTTACTAGTCGTTATATAGCAAACAAATTCACACATCTTTGCTTGAGCTACAGCAAGGAAAACTGGACTCTATTATAGGGGATTTTTTGGTACATGGGGGTATTAGTGGATTTCGAGTCTTCTCCGAAATATCAAACAGCCGGGGACTTGGTCCGTTTTATTAATTGGCAATGATAACATAACTGGAGGAATTAATTTTCTAACCCAACATCTCCTTTACCCGTCCTGTAGTATATCTCTTCATAGATGTTTGCCTCAGCTTCAACCAAAAACGCTAGCCCCTGTTTATGGAACTTTCGGATGCATCATAGGATTAGTGGATTTACTTCCCAATTGAGGATTTCAGACACTAATTAATACACATTTTATGTGCCAAAACACATATAGAAGTACTGAAATGTTTGTTATGGAGCCATATGTCTACGTATCATTAATCTTATACTATAACCCCAATTTGTACTTTTCGTGTTCAGGTGTTATCTCGGTATAAATTGTTATATTTTATAGTGTAGGCCGAGAATTTGTGTAAGGATATCAATTCCTAAAGAGGTTGTATATAAATTGTTGAAATATTTACTTACCGATGACTGTAGTTTCTGATCTTGTCTAATGACCAATATTTATGGGAAATGTTAGAAACGCCAAATGAAAAATAACCTAATCAAGAAGTTGTTTGGCATCTTTATTGGAATCATCCATCCCGATAAAAACATTTCCAGATTAATACATTATCTATATGTCAATGGTATGTGTGCTCCTATGCCATAGTAAAGTGTGCTTCTGCGCCATTGTTATTATAAATTACAATACTATTGGTCTGAGGTATTTTATTTTGTAGTCAACATTCTATTAATGGTTTGGATATTTCCTGTTTTTCTATGAAAACTCATGTTTTCTCAATCCCATTAATGAAACATATACCTATAAAATGATAGCAATTACAATATAATAAATGGGGGTGTTCAAAATAATGAAAATAAATTGTATGTATTTATATCCCTTTAACCTTGTTATTTAACAAAGAAACCTATCACATCTTTTTTTTAAAACACCGTACTCCAATGACATTATAATAGGTAACGAAGGCAAGTTGTAGGTTTCTTCGCCATAATTGTTTTTCTTTTTGCGCTTACAATCAAAATACAGGAGGAAATACAACGCAGATTTCTTGACGTATCAGAATTTGCAGCTCAGAATGGTAAAAATGTTGATTTCCAAAATACTGCGCAGTTCCATCAATAATGACCAAGAATTGCACGTACGTTTTCATATAAGGTCTATACTCATTTTAGCTGATTTAAAGCATTTTTTTTTTATTTTATTGCAGGTAAATGTTCTGGTAGATGGGCAATACATGCTTGTTTTGGAGGTGAGTGTACATAAGTATCATTTCGCTAAAACTCTCATTAAGAGTACAACCACTGTGTGAGACATAGAGTCTAGTCCACACAGCCAGCGGCCAATTACTGAATACAATCACCAACTTCATGATGCTAGTTAACAAATCACTTGAACAGGGGGCGATAGATCATCATCCTCGCCTTAACACTATATAATGATTACACCTTAAGGTTAATCTTCCATACAGATTTCTAACAAAACAAATAATATCCAAGCTGTAATATATTTATCAATATGTTTAAGGTAAGTATATTTTCCAGAGTAACTTTTTGACCAGGCAGCTGTAATTGTCCTTGGGGGCAACGCTCTTAGAAAAAAAGTCTAAGGCCCCACCAATTCATGTGCGATCGACATGTAACTTGGTATGTTTGTTCTTTGGATAATTTCGCGTAATTAAGTGCACTTCTATTTTTGATGAGTTCACAATTCCCCATCCACAGTACGCTAGTACTGGTTATACCCACTAATGTGCCGATATTAGGCAAAATTATGTATAAGTGAAATTGACAAAACAGAAATGCTCATGTCAGTGATTAGTTAGACCGTTTTTGTCAAAATCTCAATATCCAATTTTTTTATTATGAAATCATTTAAATATTGGATATGCATTGTAGAATATGCACACCTTGGGGCGCTACTGATTAAAATCGCCCTTGTCGGTCATTATGAGAACCGATTTTGTCAAAACTTCAATTATCCATAATTTTTTCAATGTCCTAGATTGTTCTACTCTCACCTTTTTTGTATACATAAAGTGAAGAACCGGGAATGGGATTTCAAAATTTGACTAGAAATTAAATTGTAGACATTAATTTCAGATTGAATCCAGATTCGGATTCGTTTGGATTTACTTCCATACACCCACAGAGATGTATTAACACCCCAATTCCTTTAAACTGATAACAATCGTTCGTAATCGGAATCTAAGATCTTGTTAGTAAACTATTTGCACTCGGGTAAAATCGGATTATAAAATAAGATATGGATAAACACTCTTAAAGTACAGGAGTAGATCTGCACATTATTGATTTCTAAAAAAATAAATGATCACTATTTTACGTTAGTTCAATCTGCACTGTGATTTCTTTCATTTACATTAATACACAACGACGGTTGTAAACATTCCTTGTAAGATATGAAGCTAAATAATATTTGAGTATGTAAGTTATAAAACTGTATTCCCTGGAGTAACAAGCACATGTTATTTGCCTATATTAGTCTATTACTATAGCTAAAACAAAACATCTGATCTGTTAATTTCACTTCATCTTCGAAGAACTTTTGTTAAAGAAATTCTTACATGCTCATTTTAATTCATTGACATGTGTTTTAGTTTTATCTAAGCAAGTCCAGTTGATTATTCCCATGTTAATGTTAATCTTTGTTTGCTATCAGCGACTGAACTGCACAAGGAAATAAAAGCAGATAATGATTTCTGTCTATTGAATCACAGATGGCAAGTCTTGTTACTTGTATACAAACTTATTTTATGTAGAATGTAACAGGCGACATAATGTAGAATTGCCACTCACCATGAAAAGGCGATAAAGCAAAATCATTCATAAAATCTCGTCCGAGTTTCAGAGACACTTAATTAAAATAGGTCTTGGAGACTATTCTAATATTCATTTTATGACAAGTATTTTTTTATCGGATTGACATTTTACGGTTTTCAAATTTTATTGGGGCAGGTTTAGCATTACTAAAATTGATCTGAAAATATTGGAACCTTTAAGGACAATAATAATATATATGGATTAACACGTGTCCTATGGTTAGAAGCATGAAGATTAGTAGTTTGTAATTAAAGTGCCTTGTAGAAATTCGTAGAAAAAAAAATAAAAGTTCAAGTTCTCAGTGGTAATATTTCACATGGGACCACACGAATAAGATTCTACTTTTATGATCATTTTATGGCGTTCGCGTAGACATTCAACATTAAGTGTTTTCATGTAATCAGTGATTTACACATAACCAGAACACGGATCCAAAACAAATTATCCGTAGGAACTTCGAATTTAAAACAGATTCAAGGCCTTTTATTAATGGAGCAACTTTCCTTCCAATCAACACATCTTGTGTTTTCCTGTTAAATAATCTTATTTCATAATCTGTGTTGAATTAATTATTTATAACATACAGAGATATTATTTTATTATATATAAATACAAGCATGACCTTGAGAATGTGAAGCGACGGTCCGTGTCCAGGCTTCTTAATAGAAATCAATTTTGAAAGATGTTTTAATAAAAAGATAATAGTCCGCAAAGCTCGATCGTTATAGCATTTAATACCGCGTTCCATTATTGGCGATGCGAGATATTAATTAGATGTCAGTCGAGTGAAACGATGTTTTAGCGTTTAATAGTTGTGTAAAAGTGCTGAAGTGAAAAATTTCAAGCATTTTAGTATTGTTGGAATTCTCCAGCAATCAATAATATGATGTAAAAGTCACGCCATAATTAACCATTTAACAATTAAATAAACTACAAGAGTATCTTATACGTGTAGCATTGAGCTAAACAATATATCCATTATTTAGTTTTAAAAAGAAACGATTTCCCAAAATAATCTTCTTAAACTTCTTTATTGCATTTCATTAAACATTTCGCAAATTCGAGTACGATCGACTGACAACTTCGATTTTTTCGGTACCTGGTTCATGCAGTACGCCCGTACTTGTTTTTGTTTTCTCCAGTGTCAATAAATAAGTTCAGTTGATTGAGAGAGGCGACGTAGCTGGGTAGGTTTATTCACGGCACAAATTCAACAATTTATTAACAAGAGGTCTAATCTAAATGTGGAAAATTAGAAGCCGTGTCAACGATGTCGGTATTGTTATGTGAAGAGTTTTGTTGATGTTGTTTATTACAATTTTAACAACCAATATACATTATTAACACCTTCAATTTATATCGTAGAATTATGGAGATTCTTCAAATGTCTATTAGAATTAGAACACATCACTGCTCCTGATAATTAATACGGGATGAACGTAGTGATAAACTATTAATAATTATAAAATATCGACGCATTAACGTGTACTAGTTGGTGATACTAATCCTTTAATCGAATTAGCTCTACGTCTCTATTTAATCCAATTTGACTAAATAAAACAGAGGCGGCAACCTGGGAGGACCCCGCTGCGAAGTCAATACAGCGATTTTGTAATACTTAGACTCGATAGAAATAATGTAAAATAATTTTAACATCCTTCATCCGGCTTGTAACATACAAAAGTATCTAAATTCTGAAATGTCGTGGCATCTATTTGGTATATATATGGGGTTTTAATCTATAGCAAAAATATTTATGTATTTAAAAGGTCAAACTCGCTTTAAATTCGGCTCTAAATGAAATGAAGTGGGGGTTTAACGTCCTTCAAATCCGATTCATGCAGTAATGGTATCTTGTTTTATCGTGAATAAACAGCGGAGACTAGCCTGCCCAAGGCTAAAGTTAGAAATGGAAAAGAATATAGTACACTGATGTGAAATGAAATGAAATCAACCAAGATTTTGTTATGTTGCTTTCAAAGGGTTTTGCCATTTTAAATGGGTTATAAATTGTTGTATTCAAATCTCGAAACACAAACTGTAATTTATTATGAAAACAGATTGCATGTGGGTTAATTAAGTCATATGTCCCCCCCCCCCCCCAAATACTGAAAAAATGATTTTATTTTCTAATGCCCCCACCCCCACTCCCCAAATAAAATCATTCATCGAAGACGTTATTTAGCTTTGTGTTAACATCTATTCAACGATACCGAAAACAAAATGCTTTAATGTGTAGCAGCAAGTGGGGGAACATTATCACTGCTCTATCGATTTATTAATCCTTGCATTAAATAAATTGAAATGAAATGGGGTTTAACGTCTTACCGTTCTGCTCCAAACTGGGCTAATGAAGTGTGCCATACCGTCTGCTATGGGGGAAATTTTGCCCGGACAGCGGCACTACGGCCTACTCTTATATCGACTTCCAACTGTCAAGGGATCTTTTACGTGCACGCCAATGTGTACACGGGACCTCGTTTTTTTTGTCCCATCCGAACGACTAGACAGCTCTCCTTGTTAGGCCTTGCATTAAACTATATCTGAACAATAAAGTTGGGACAATAACAATTAGTTTTGACATAGTCTTGAATAAATATTGACATACCTTTGTCAAAATAATATATCTTTATAGAACAAATACTTTCTACAGAAACATTGTAAACAAATGCACATTTAAATGGCAGTTTGAATGATGTACATGGAACAAAAGGTAGATTTAAACACACAAATAAGAGTTTAATATTGGCCAATTTAATCATATTGATATTGTTATTTTAAAGTAAAAAACGGGCTCCTGATATCCAAAATTTGAGACACGATGAACATTTTAAAATCAATCAGCGACGTCAGGTCCGCTGTGGCCTCGAGTACCATTTGTAATGAAAAGGCGTGATCAGCGCAAAACACATCTGATAAGTTACTGCGGAAGTAATTACAAATGGCTGATTAACAAACAGGAAAAAGAAAATGAGATAAATTTAAAGCGTGTACTATCCAGACGCAAACGACTGTTATTCAATTTGGACTGCTCACGTAGTTAGCCGAACATAACTTATTAGAAATTACAATAAAACAAATGTAAAGAATTGAATGTAAATCGGTTTATATACAATCATATTACATTAATATGTGCCTTCGTCAATTTTTGTCTATTTAACTTTCCAATGAATAGAGCGTTTAAACTTTAACAAAAAATACGAGGGTCCTCAAATATCACCTGTTACGAGAAAGAATTTCCGTTTCCCATTGAGATTATTGATAATGTGTTTCGTGAGATATTTCAATAGATCCTTCCATGCAACTTCAGGTATAATTAAGGGGGAGAATAGGGTGTATTGCACAATAAACCGATGTTCTGAACAGTTGGATGTATTATGAATTGTCTTTACAGAATCCCCGTACAGCAGTGTAGTTCCCATAACTCAATTATTTATGTATGAAATGCGAATAATCTGAAATATCACACAGTAATAACACAACTCTACACTAGTATCGATATCTGACGTAGAAGTGGATATATAGATGTAAGTAAGTTAGTGATGTTCGCGGGGTGGGATGGCGGGTTTTCCGCGACATTGTGAGCAATGAAATTCTGTAGCACGTAAATGAAAAACCCGTTAACTTTCAGACAGGTCAGTTGTTCGAAAACAACTGTATAAATCCTTTTTTGGATCTGCCTACTGTTGCGGGCAACACTCCGCTCTAAACATGTTTACATTTCGGTAGAAAGTGCATACGTATTACAATCTATAACACGCACAGTGATTCCTTGCACAACACTGTACCTTTACCGAAAGGTACGCTCAAAATATGTTATCAGATGACTTATTTGAGAGAATATTACTCTTAAATTGTGCATTTGTGCGCAAGATTTGAGATCGTTCTAGCAATTTATTATTAAGATTCAATCCCATGAATGTAGTTCTAAATATGAAGAAAAAATGAGTAAAGGGGTGGATTTCATCCCGCAATTTAATGAAGTTTTGACCCAAACTGATCAAAATGAAATTTAGGATGATCCGAATGTTGGGTATGTCTATTTAAAACTTCGGCCAAATCATTTCCCAATAAGTGTGCACGAGACCAGATAAGTTCTAGAACTTTGGGGGATTACATTGCTAACATTTTGTATTACCCTTTATCACTTCTCAACTATCTGACGAAGCATTTAACTTGTTACAAAGAAATGTTTTTCAAGTATTATTTAAATGTGTATATTTTTGACAAAACAGGTTTTTAATTATTCTCGTTTGATTTATTTACAATGTACATACAAATCTGTAATACTTGTATTATTATGAAGTTTAGCTCGTGATGGTCACCATATGTTTGGCGCCATATCTTCCAGATTTGATTTTATATTTTATATTAGTTTTTCTCTTATAATCTAATGTCATTTAATTTTCAGAAATAAAATAAAAATCCATTTATCTAGATTGAGCAACAGTAGCCCAATTCTACATCTTAGAAAGGTTCCACGAAATTTTGTAACCAATTTACAGTTTCGTAAGAGCTAAAGGGTGAAATTAACTGATGATTAACACTCATTAAAGAATTTGATTTCCTTTTCCTTATTATCAACCTTAAGTTGTGACTCCCACACTGCTAAAGGCCAGGGCTTACAAGGAGAAATTGTATTCGGCGACCCCCAGACCATTATGTCAACACGGATTTGATCTATATCGATTTAATGATTACTTAGTCAAAGGCTTTTGTTCATCATATAAATGTCCACATATTGGAAGTTTTGGTTAAATATAACATCAGGGAAAAAAAATCATAGTTCCATTAGAGTCTTTAGAAAAAGTTTGGTGTTTGCTTTACAAATGCGATGCGCGTAATTTCACCTAACATTTTCGATTGATTGTTTCTCACTTTCGATATAATTTAATGGTTTAAAGTTAAACGCATGAAAGGTGCTTTTAGTATCGACTTTGGTCACACCAAGGTAATTAACAAATGTTTTTATCCTCAGACGTTTCTACTTTATGTGTTTTAAATATTTAAAATATCAATATTTTATACACAGACTATAGTTAACATAAAAAGAAAAGTGCATGTAAGATTCTGGGCAGAGGGATGGGGGTGGGGTGGGGATGAGGTAATTTTTATCCATGCGTACATAATAAATTATAAGGAAATTATCAACAAAGGTTTGGACATCTGAATTTGCCCGGCCACATTTTTTGCCTTTTCGGACATATTTTCATTGTCACGTCCCCATTGAAAACTGTCATGTGAGCTATTAAACTTCGGATGGTATTTCTACTTCTGTTTTTGTTTGTCAATTACTCTAACTAACTAACTAACAATAAAATCAAACTTTCTAGTGAATCTCCAGTCTCAAGAATGTAAACTGCAGATTGGGGGGGGGGGGGCTTCTAGGTTTTAACGAAATGACTTTAGTCTAACAGGCACTTTCTGAGTACACTGGGGTGTAGTATATATAACCTCATTCGTTTCATGATCATCCTTGTCGATAAGCTATCAGTGAGCATACATCACGCTATGTGGCAATGTATGTTTTTGTTTGCCAAAAAGGACATAAATATATGCAATTCCCGATATACCTACGCTTTTAAAGATAAGTATTCCCATAATTGGTTTTAAATGGCGAGTTCGTGTGCCCTTTTATATTGAATTTGACAGAAAACATATTTATATGATCTCTACTGATTTAGAAATAATGCTATTTATTACATTTGTAAGTGAATTATTTTTTGAATACTTTTTATACGCCCACATTGAACAGCTAAATCCATGATATTAAATGTTTCGTATACTAAACGTTAGCATGGGGCAGAACTAAAAGCCAAACAATTTCTAAAGATTTTCGGATAATTACTTAATGAGTTGTTACTCTTAATCAGCTTTTAGTGTATTATAAATTTTTCATTACCGACAACAGAAAAAATATGCGACAACTCTTGTTGACTTCCCGGACGACTTAGCGTATGTTTCGTTGCCTGGCAACCCATCGTTTTCTCATTTATAATTTAACTATAAACGAGGATTTAATCAAATTGTAATCTCGAATGTTTAGATACACCAACAACGCTACCCCATTGCCTCGTATTAACCACCAATGTTCTTTCATGGTCTTTCATTTTGTCTAACTGACAATAAAGATTGTTTTCTTTTAATGGTACGAAAAATCGTGGTCCCGTGTACAAATTGTCGTGTACGTATAAGCACCTTTGATAATTGGAATTCGAAATAAGAGTAGACCGTAGCGCCACTGTCTGGGCAAAATATCCCTCATATCACTACATAGCGTATGCCGTCTGCATTAGCCCAGTAAATGAGTAGGACGTTAAACCCCATTTCATTTCTTCCAATAAGCCCGGCATGGTGTTCGGAATATTTCAATAATATGACAAAAGATGACAAATTTATGGATAATTGAAATATCTTTTCTTGAAGGTCACTTTTTACAATACTTTTGTCAATATTTATCGAACGCGCTTTTGTCAATATTCACGTCAATATTTAGAAGCTTGCAAATCCAAAACGGATAATCAGTGGTATATTTAATTTCTAATTATATAAAATCAGAATAATCACTGAATCTTATGTTCGTCTTCTAGATACCTTATATTTACATTCTATATAATCTTACATATGTACACATTGGTTGTTTCTTACGTCAGCGGGGAGGATCTGCCATTGAGACAAGTGGTGTGGATGCGATTACCCGCTTGTACGTGAAAATTGAACCATGTGTTAGTCCTGAAATGACCTAGTTTGTGTCGAGTGGACGTTAAACCGCATCTCCCTCTCTCTCTCCCCCTCCCTCTCTCTCTCTCTCTAACAAAATATTACGTGGAATCCAACTTATAAGAATAGATACATATATAACCTATGCCATTGACCCTGTAGTCACCTTTAATTCATTTAGTGTAGATTACAGTTTTATGCCTGTGTTACACTAATAATGTTTATTAAGATATAATTCGGAAGATATTTTGGATCTGTGGCGTTCTTCACGACATTATACAATCTATATTTGATTGTTTCTTAAATTTAGATTCAATTATTTTGTCTGTTTTGAAATTTTATATGATTCTAATGATGATGATGATCTTTTTAAAGGTAATGGTAAAAGATCAGATCCAAGTGTAGCAGATAACTTAGACAGCAGAAGACAAAATTCCCTGAGACAGATACTTTTACCCCAGTCTTTTCTACTTGATAAAAATGAATTAAATCAGGACACAGAATTAAATTTTGATGAACCATTAAGAAACGAAGAACAGAGGCAGGATATTAACAGACTGGAACTTTTACTGAAAACATTGGTAAGTTGCTTTCCTTAAGGGAAGGCGTAATGTCCTTGTATATGTATCATTGTATCTTATGTTTCCCCTTTCGCTCATTATTATACTAATCGCAGTAGATGTTCGAACATCAAATCAGTGGTATAATTCTTAAAGTTTTACTTCCCGTTTCATCCTGTAGAAGTAAGCCAGAAAGTATTTAACGGCCAAAATTGTTAGTTTAATAAGCAATATGCCAACAATATATTAAACGAATTGGAGTTAAGATGAACCGCAAGAAGGTTTCACAACCCGAACGAAGGCACGTTTTGTACGAGTCACCGCGGTATAAATTTGAATATTCTTAGAAAGAACCGTAGAAAACAGTGACCAACCTTTGGTATTCTTGTGAAATCGTCAAGTGCCAAAACTTTCCTGGCCCAAACCGTGGAAAATCTTGAATATCTGTAGCTCAAACGTGCATATTGGTACGGCCGCCGTGGGACATTCCTTGTCATCCGGTACTTTACCTGTTTATTCTTGATACCTTTTTGTCGAGTTATAACATGGACCGTGTATAGATGGACAGGCAACGTCCACGAAGCCTTTAGAATTCTGTGCCGCGGCAAAAAAAAAGACCAGACAACAGTGACTAAACTAAAATTACCTCCCGTCGCGCAATTACCAGTATTAAGTTTAAAAGAAAAGAAACAGAAATCAATTAATAATATTTTTATTAATCTTGCTACTCTTTTTTTTGCATCCCACACATAGATAGACTACTAACTGATGATTGGGGTGTAAATGTATCAACACGTCGTCTTTGTTTACTTCGGACGCGTCCATGTGAATCCGAAAAAAAAAAGGCGAGTTTTCGTTAAAAACAAGCCTACTAAAACACTCTTTTAATTATTACTTCTGCACAATTAATCATCAATCCGGACAGTATTATACCTGAACTTTATTTTCATAATTTTAAAATCTTTTATACATGCGGGAATTTGGAGTATTAAGCAAAACCAAAATGCTTACAAAAACTACGAAAATATTGATATCGATTATTTCACAATTTTCAACAGCTGCATTTGGAAATTTCAAAGTTCTAAACTGGAGAAATTCGTCACTACCGGATAGGAATACTTATCGGGTTGAAAACTTAGCATGTAACTACATTGTATAAGAATACCATAAATTCTAAGGAGAAGTTCGAGAAATTAATCTGTATAAAATCCCGCAATGTCAAAAATCACATCGCTTGATTTGCCGTTGACATTGAGATCTCGTCGTGTCTCGCGCGAGCGGCAGATAATCAAACCAACGGGAACGTTGCTTGTTCATCTATATACGGTCCATGGTTATAATAACTACGGTTTAGCCAGAGTTTCGCTACGAGTTTACAACGTTGGTACGAATACTCGAATTCATTCACGATTGTTCATGATGCCTCAACACTTTATCACGGTTTATCACGAATCTTTGCGAATTAAACGTTTAAGTGCTTCGATCATGCCCCCGTCAGACCGGGTGGCGGCCTTACTGCGCTGCTGCGACTAGAAAATGCACAAGGTCGCCGGCAAACTTAAACACAACGCGAGAAATTGTCCCAAATAAATTACAAACTTGAACAAAGTCTAGTTCTTTACCCCGTCAGACCAGGTTCGAAACCACGTCAGTTGAATAAATGACAAGCCTTATGATACAACGCGCACCTGCTAACCATTCGCCCCCCTCCCCGCCACTAGAAAAGAAATACAGCGAAACTTAGTCGTAACATAACACCAAAACCACCCCTAATAGACTCATAGTCATTATAGCGATTTTAGAATTCTTTAGATATAAATACATACTACTTATAGATATTTTTAGGACGCAGTGATTAAAACCACTGAATTGCTTAATTACTGCCAATTATCGTTTAATACATCTTCATTTTAAACAAACAGATCTATGTTGCTAAGTAAATAGTTTTTGTTTTAGGAAACTGATATCTAGTTTGATATTGAGAATGCATAAAATGTTAAATTAAAACACTAATCATTGGCATCATTGTTTATTTACTATAAAAAGACGAACATAAACGTTGTAAGCCTATATTTTCCCGTTTTAAATGCATTACACAGAATAAAGCCACTGAGCATGACACAAATTTACAGTAACGCTTGTATTAGCAGATTAAAACAGATACCGTTATAAGTCAAACGCACATTTCCAGTTTATTTGGTACAAGAAACTTGCTCATACTAAAGATTTGAATTCATTAGAAAGATACAAAACTTGTTGTTAGGATTTTCAATAAAAGGCGGGGTTGATGAAAGAATTGTAGAAATATGGAACCCATTGTATATCAAATGACCTGTGGATGTTAAGTCACTGAATAATATTAACAGTTGATCCACATCTAACGTTGATCAAACCCTCCTTGTCCCTTTTCACTGAAACATGAAATTAATCATTAATTAAAGAAGCTTATAAATTGCATTAACAATACAATATTGTAACCTATTCTAAAGCGCAGTTTATCGCCTCACAGCCGTTTTAGATTAAGAGTGAGACTTGTAAGAGATCACACTGATTAAGATCTTACGGTTAAAGCATTACGTAATTTGGTGCAAATTACTCACCTTCCTTGACTGACGGGAGTACTGACACTTATCTGATAGTAAAATGAGACAATTAGAAAAATGTGTTTAAGTCTTACGAATTTCCTCCCATTTACAAACTGCAGAGAACTAACACTTATCGGATAGTAGAACCGGACAAGTAGAAAAATGTGTTAATAAGTCCTTTAGATTTTTCCCCATTGACAAACTGCAGAGAGAGAAAAATGTGTTTTAAAATAAAGTTCCATTTAATTCGAGGCTATATTGCATTGTACTGTTCCCAAGATTAAAAATAATGACACTGAAGAACATTTATTTCCAGATAGAGTTTCATTGAGACAGATTGAAAATGTATCCTTCTACTTGAATGAATATAAATCTTTCATAAGTGTTTAATTTAATTAAAAGAAATCTTTAAAAAGAAATCTATGTGGCCTTTATTTGGTTAAACACTCCTGTAGTTTCAACCATCCGTTATGAGACGCAATTTATCTGAGCCATGAGTGTACTGTGCTTGGGTATTCAAAAAAAAAGAGACGCTCAATCCAATTTTGTCAAGATCTGCAGAGCAAACTTCGACAAAACAAAAAGTCCCAGTTTATAGTTATTTCGGAATCAGCACATACTGTAATGTACGAAATTCTGAACGTAGTTAGAACTACATGAACAATAGTAAGCAGCAAGTACCACTAAGCGGCAATTATGTATACTATGAGAATAGTAAGCGGTTAAGAACTCTTAGAAACGTACACGACATGGACTATTGGAATAGTAAGGCCTAAATACTGAGAGAGAGAGAAATGGGGTTTAACGTCCACTCGACACAAACTAGGTCATTTCGGGACTAACATATGGTTTTTAATTTTATTTCAATAATTCGCTTGCGCGTAGGGATCTTTAGCAGTGGGAGGAAACCGGAGGACCCGGAGAAAACCCACGAGATTGGACAGGCGACCCTACTCCTTGTCACGTACAACCGGGGATTCGAAACCACGCCAGTTAACTCAATGACAGGCTTTATGATACAGCACGCACGTGCTAACCATTCGGCCATCCAACCCCCCGGCCTAAATACTAATAGAGTAGTAAGCTGTAAGAACTATCAGAAACGTACGCAACATGAACAACTATTAGAATAGTAAGCGGCAAAAAATATTAGAATAGTAAGGTCTAAGAACTATTAGATTAGGAAGCGACAGGGACTATGAGCAATAGTAAGGGGTAAGAAGAACTATATGAGCAATAGTAAGCGGCAGGAAATATTAGAATGGTGTGGTGTAAGATTCATTAGAATAGTAGGAGTAAGAACTATGAGAATACTAAGCCGCAGGAACTATTAGAACACTAAGCGGCAAGAACGTTCAAATCAAGAAAACTGACCCAGATGCCATTTCATTCCTGTTACTTAACCCATCACATAAATTGTAACAACAAAATAAGGATAGATCTAGAAATAATGTTTCGCCGTATTTTCAACTTTCTCTACGGAAATTTTCAATCTTGGTATGTTGTGAAGATAATGGGGTTCGGACATTTATTCGTCCTTTTCCTGAAACTACTTATTACACTTCACCTGTGGGTACACTTTTTTTGTTGGTTGATTGCACAATACAGACATAATAATTGGAACAATACCATTCTCATTCAGAGAAAGATATAATAAATTGTATTCTTGTTTTTAACTTCTGACTATTTGGAAGGGGCCTTGAAAAAGTCGGAGGCTTCTTCACGAACCATGTATGTATCCGTTGTGCATACACTGCTATGTCCACACAACCACTACGGCCACATTTTTGTCTGACACCATGCTCTGCTTCTACCATACACAATCATAATTATTATTCTGTTCTATTTTCAGATGATGGAACAAAAGATACGAAAAGAAGGATCAATGTTGGCCTGAAATACATCAGGCCAGTGAGGGCCAAACCTACAAGTTGCAATGGTTGATTCCAATATTTTAAAAGTCCAAATATGAGGTCTAGCCTATATCCAAAATTATTACATCTAACATAGAAATTATTGTTACCATCAATTCATAATTGTATAATTAAAGAGTTGAGCTTTCATATTTAAAGTACATTCTGTGTTGCTTTTACTCAACTCAAAGGTTCGCGGATCATTCGAAAAATGTTGCCATCAATAAATAATGACGTTCAAATAAATATGATCCTGTTGCTTACTACCTACTCCGAATCTTTCATACTTCTACCATGCGCTCGGAGAGGGTTTTCGTGTTACACCGAGAAGACCGTTGACCCAATAACTTCTGAATTTGAGACCGCTATTAGACGTGTAATCAATTTTTCCACATACGAAACACTCATTTTGTTTTAAACGGGTTTATGTGTCTGTCGAAAAATACTAGAGTTAGTTACTATGTTTGCTAATAGTGTTATTAGTATATGATTTCGTGGAATTATTGTGGGTGAGATTAATTTATCATGTATGTAATTTAATTTCAATCAAGATTGTATTAACTTGCTAGAAGGTGGGCAAACAGACACACTTAAGGCACTTAAATCAAATTAGACTAGTAGTGAACAGCTATTGAACCCCTTGACCTGACAAACGTTGTCAATTAGTGAAACTATGATTAACACCATGAAGGCACCACACAATTTACAGAAATGGTCGATTGAAATTGGGATTTAAGTTCTTACACGATAAAAGCTTTATCGTCTGTTTTTTGTCTTTTAATCTCATTTTTGTAAAATATATGTGTGTACATTGTTCTTAAAGAATCCATAAGCATGTTCAATGGTACTGGTCTATTCAGGTCAGGGACGTCTTATACAAGACACTGCACACAGAAAGTGGGGCCACGAATCAAATCCTGGAAACGCTTTTACTCTTTTTATTCTAATAAATTTACGTTTGTAAAGATTTTTTTTTTGGAGCTAACTTCCAACAATAACTGAAAATCAGAAAGAAAAAGTGTAAAGGAAAACTGCCCTCTGTCCGCTATTTAACCATCATGCTAGGGGCTGCGTGATCCAGCGCAAATGTTAGTCTGGTATCATCAAGTCTCATTTCATCTGAATAGCAAGGGATTTTGTGGTTGCTGTACGCGACCTAGTATCAACGGATAATTTGCAGTCCTGGTCATTTTTCATAAGCGTCTATTTGAACGCAACCATTATCATTGAATTATAATTAAATTTAGTTGGATCTTGTAGTTGACCTATAAATTGAACTGAAACAAAGATGGTGGCGTATTTCAAACTATTATATATTACCATTTACAAGTATCTGTTGGTTCTTAAACACATGTTCACTGTTAACCCTTCCCTCACAGAAAATCTGCGTAATTGCACAATATGTATTTTGGTTAATTTGTAAGTAAATGATATTAAAAGATTGCAGACCATTTCCAAATTATTTTTATATTCTGATTATTGTAATAAATCTTAATACGGACAATAAAATGAATCAACTATAGTTGCATTTTATTACTTCATAAATTCTGAACCATGGACTATGCTGTTAAACCATTCATAGGACGATTACTGATGGGTTTACACAAGAGCCTACAGGCATATAAACAGTGGTGCGCCCGCCCCCTCACCCTCACTGAAATCGGTCGGACTGACAAGATTCAAACTAATGCATATAGTTTTCATCCTAAGACAGCAAAATCTAAGCTTGTGTGTCAGTACTAAAGTGCAGTTGTCTCGATTAATTGTGTTCCTTGATCTCGGATATACTCCAAATGGCGTACTACGCCGCCGCGATTTGTTCTTAATTTTAAAATTTAACCTTAACCTTACTTTTAAGTAAAATGAGCGAAAATCCAACAACTGATTTACTATAACTGTTCCTACCAGGAGCCACGGTGGCTAGGTGGTTAAGACGCTGGCTCGCTAGCCTGAAGGTCGGGTGTTCGATCCCTGCATTGGCCGAGAAAGTTCATCTGGATTTTCCGACGTGGTTTCCCCTTGTCAGTGGTGCAGAACTGAGGGCCTGACAAGGACAGCTGTCTAGTCAACCGATGAGACGAAAAACCGAGGTCCCGTGTATACATTGGAATGCATGTAAAAGATCCCTTGGCAGTGGGAATTCGATATAAGAGTAGGCAATAGTGCCGCTACCCGGGCAAAATTTCCCTCATAGCACACTGTATGGCGTATGCCCGTCTTCAATAGCCCAGTATAGGAGCAGAACAGTAGGACGTTAAACCCCATTTCATTTCATTTCAGTTCCTAGCAATATGTTTCAAGATATCTCCCGTTTCGACTGTCACTTATGGGCAGAAGTTTGGGATTCGGTCATCTTGAAACAACGGGAGACTGACGTAGAAGAATTTATAAGCACGGTCGTAGCGTCACATCCGGGTTGGGGAGCCATTATGAAGACATACATGTATATTTACTAAAAAAAATGTCAATTTTGTATTCCTATCAAGTACACAATCACATACAAGACAAGAGCTTTAATATAGGCCGATGGAAAATTCGTGACGTAGCTGGAGTTAGAAGACGAATAGAGAAAGTGAAATATCTTGATTACAGAGAATTGTGTGGGCCGTTTAAGAATTACTAGCCCACTTGTTTTGTTGGCAACTTCCGTAATATGATATGGACAATGCCACAAGAGAACACCAGATACATTAGTAATTTGTTATTTTGTTGTCTGTTTCGTCTCATATTGCACTATTCGACAATACGACGAGAAATATTTTCGCACTCTAGTGCGTTATCGCCGTTTTCCCCTAAGCACACTCCAGCGAATAAAGTGTTGTACTTTATTGAAGATTTACCAAGGGAGTTTCCACACTTGCCTTTCTCTACAACGGGCTGACATATCTACCAAATATGTAGTGTTTATACAATAATATTCTAATTTATCCGGTGTAGTATATCTAAATTCTTGACCAGGTCTATTATTTTGGACTCTTGTATCACACTGTACCAGTTTTGGTCCAAGGACAAATTATTGGGAGATCAAATTTTGTTTTTCAGTTCGAAACAGTCTCGCATGAACTATCAAACTAACACAAATTCAGTTAACAGGGGCCTTTCACGTCATCCTAATGAAAATCTAATATTGCTCACACCAGTAACCATATCTTCCCAATCACATTAGGACACAAATAATTGATGTATAATTCAGACCAAGTTATCTTACACCGTATCTTAGAAACTCTACTTAACAAAGGCAGGCATAAAACGGTAGAATATGGTTTGCGGCTATAAAGTCAAATTAAGCCAATGGAAAATGTCGTTAGCACACCCGTTTCAAGTTGTTTTAAATAGGAATCATGTATTCCTTGTGTGTATTTGGTATATAGTTTACTGGATCATGCATCTCTGTCTGACACAATTTACATTCGGTAACTCTAGATCAAGCACGAGTATTAGCAACCATCTTTATATCAACACTCCATATATCGAAGCGCAATTGTCCACAGAACATGGACATTCAGAGTTTCATGGCGGTCGTATATGGCGGGCATTGGGTTTATTTAGAGTTTCATGTCGATCGTACATAGCCAGGCATTGGGCTTATTCAATGTTCATGTCGATCGTATGGCTGGGCATTGGGCTTATTCAATGTTCATGTCGATCGTATGCATGGCGAGTGCGTTTGGCTTATTTTGAAGAGATTCACTCCAAGAAGAAGACGATTATCAGGTTCACAAAATTTACGTCGAAGTCCATGAAAATATATCTTTTGAAGCTGGTGAACTTACTGGCCAGTTCTTTCCTTTGGTGTACAAATTATCAATTTAAAACTCAAGTGTATATGAGAGTGATTCTGATTAGTGTTATAAATATTTGAAATAAGATTTCCTGACAGAACACAGGGGTGACAGAAAGCTACGTAGGTTCATTATAGAGTGAAAAATAAAAATATCTAAATGACACTTTAATTAGGTTTTTTTCTAAACCGTGAAACATTGTGCATTTCTCTACTTCAATTATATTGTTTAAAATAAACTAAAGGTATCAATAATTTAAATTGCTCCTATGTTCAAAATATTATATAGATCATTTTATCGATACTAAATGCTTTCTCCATGTTTAAACATGTTCACAAATCAAAATAGAAACCGTTGGTTGTGTTCTACATGTTCATAGGTTTATATATTAGCATGAGAAAAATATATAATTATAACTGTCTATTGATAATACGGCAATTAGTTACTAGCTTGACAAGGGATATTATATTTTCTGTAGTAACAAAGGTAATTATAGGTCTATTTTCTGATATACCTGTCAAATATTTCTTGATTAGCCAGAAGATACAATACAATAGGATCGGGCTTTATTTCAGATAGAACAACTGGAAGGACATCGGGCTGTTTCAACAACAGTGCTTATTAGCTAAATAATCTGCTTTCAAACAACGTAATGCAATTGTCGTTTTTCATCGGTAAAGCAATCGTGCATGGGACCTACAAAACAAATGAAACAACTGGGAAATAATGACTTGCGGCAACTGTGATCAAATTACGACAATAAAACAGATATTGGAATAACAAAGTTACCAGTTTAACTAAATAGAGCTGACATTTCTCTTTCTTTCCTTAATAAAATCAAATAACTAAGTTCAACCATTTACACCGGATGTCGACTGACATATGAAATCTTATGAAAGGGAGATTAATCCATAATAAAAAAAAATAATGGAAAAAAGGCAGGTGCAGTTTAATTTGATTCATATTATTGGCAGAGAACTGGGAACTGTAACATTTGTGTTCCATCGGCGTTTGCTGAGAATTCGGGTCAAAAATCCTTTAAAATTTTGATTATTACATTTGCCTTGAAGCAGTTTTCTGAATGGGATCTTCTCATTGGAAATATCAAAAATAATATGTAGTTTCGTAAATGTTTACCACCCGACTGTACTATATACCGGAAAAATCAAAAAAATACCGAAAAAAATCCAAAATATACCAAAAACTCTCTTTTGATACTAATGGGGCTGTCACACATTGTCGTATAGCATCAGCGTATGCCGACGTGTTTAGCAAGTTACGAGCACGCTGAAATACGATGATATAAGTTGTTGTACGCCGAACGCGGCCAAAAATTTTGTCCAAGCATAAAATATTCAGCGTATGCCGACGTATTGCTTACACGTTAGGCGTAAGTTAGAAGTACGCTACAGGCAGTGCCGGACTGGGCCCACCTGTCCACCTGTCCGTGACAGGTGGGCCTAACCTCATTAAAAAAAAGTGGGCCTTAGCCTATAAAGAAAAAAGAGAAAGAAAAAAGAAAAAAAGAAAAAAGAAAAAAAGAAAAAAGAAAGGGAAAGAAAGAAGGAGGGAGAGGACAGGACACAGGACATGAGAAAGAAAAGATAGGAAAAAAAACATGACTGACAAACAACACAAAAAAAGAAGTGTGCTACAAGACTGCTTTCGTCTGAAATTTTCAAAATTTTCCTGTGGGGAGACCCCCAACCCCCAGACCTCCCTCGGACGCTCGCGCCTTTGGCGCGCTCGTGACTACTTGTGTGGGCCTTGGTCAATAACCTGACAGGTGGGCCGAAGGCTACAGGTAAAGCAATGCTGACACTTGCACGATTTCGTGGCACGCATTGGCGTGAAGTGTGCGTAAACCCGTCATGACTGCGTGCCATGTCGGGACGATAATTTTGAAATGTTCAAAATTTTGGTCACGACAAAATTTAGCGACCGGGTCGTGAACTATGCGCAAACTGTTCGTGAACTCGTTGGGACGATGCGGGAGGATGCGTGACAGTGCGCGCCATGCCACGACTGTCACGAACTGCCACGAATAGTTCACGACTAGTTCACGAACAGTTCACGACTACTGCGGCACGACATCGTCCGAATTGCGCAAACTCGTCGTACCAATGCGGGAAGTGCGTAAACAATGCGCAAACTATGCGTGAACTCGTCGTGTCAACGTGGACACTGATGGGCACGCATTCGTGAACTCGTCGTGAACTCGTCGTGAACAGTTCGGGAGCCTCCCAGTTCGTGTCCCAAAATGGCACGACTTGCCACGACAAAATCGTGGCCAAAAGTCGTGCAAGTGTCAGCCTGGCTTAAGTTATACACGCGTTCACGCACTTTACATGTAAGTTACTCATAAGTTGACATATACGTCGGCTACCAGCGGGGCAATTGAGCAGCGTACGACTAACGTACTTCTGACGTCCTTAGAACTTACTGATAGTTTGAAAAGTGGAGCTTGAGACGAAGTCGAGGCCTGCTTATCGTTAAGGGCTTGAGAGGACGCCATGGCCTCAGATGCCGCCGCAGATACTACTGAGGACGCGTTGGATCTTGCACAATGGCGATATTGGCTATCATTGTCAGAATGGTGGTGAGCTATGAAGATGGGGACCAGGGTGGGCGTGGAGGTGGTAAGGATGAAGATTGCTTAGGTCGGCCCCTTCCTGCACCGGAGTAAATGTTATGCATGCGAACGGCTTTAATTAGTCGTTGAACCCTAAGGAAGGCCAAA